CCATCTGGCGAGGTCCATGTGTATAGTCGTCTCTTATGCTGTCTAAAGAAGGTATTTGAAATAAACAAATCATTTGTCTTGCAGAAATGTAGTACTTATTCACAATTTCCTAATGAAAAAAAAATGTAACTTTGTACGTCAATATTTGAGAACTTTTAATAAGAGTATTCATCACTTTTTAAAGTAAATATTGCCATATTTCCCCTCTGTAATCCTGTTTGTAATTATCATTATATTTCATGTTATGCATGTTGATACAAAAGTTAAATTTACTTTTTGTTAAATGTTATTTTGTGAAACAGGAAAAAAAACAAGCAGCCAAAAAAGTGGGATTCTCTTTGTACTTCTTTGAATATCTATGACTATACCTAGAATTAAAACTAAAAATTAAAAAGTTACCTGGTTCTAAAGATACTTTTTTGAAACACAAAAATTACAAATTGACAAAGAAAGCTATAAAAACATTAGGACAAGAAGAAGTAAGAAACCACAGTAAGTATTTAAAGGGAAAAGCAGTAAAATTATTTAGGTTGTTTAGTATACATTAGACTATTCGTAATGGGAGAACAGCTTGTTTTCACTTTTTGTAGTCACACACAAAAAATAATCATGATAGTTGGGAAGTTCAGATTTATGGGGAAAAGTTAAGGTTTTATTTCCAGGGGAACAAGATCAGGGTGACCTCTATTTTGGTTTATCTCAGGAGGAAAAGGTTTTGTGTTTTTATGTGTATTTTCAATTGTGGAACGTGAAGTACTATGTGGTATTGAAGTCAATGCAAAGTATTTTTACTTCCACACACTGTACCAGTTTATTTGTTGATTATTTTGTACTCCTCCCTTGCCCTGAGTACACAAGGTTTTGTATGGTTACTATAAAGGTTTTGTGTGGTTAATTTGTTTGGTATACCTCTTCAAACATCTTCTCTCTGTGTGTTTAATTGACTCTAGCCTAAATATGAAAGTTCTCATATTTTTCCCATCCCATCTATTTACCACTTGCTATTGAATCAATTCTGGCTCATGGCAATCCCAAAATGTATGTGGTGGTGGTGGTTCTGACTTACAGTGACCCTGCATAGAGTTTCCAAGGCTGTAAATCTTTATAGGAGCAGCAAGCTTCACCTTTTTGCCCCCACAAGTGGCTGGTGGACTTAAGCTGCTGACCTTGAAGTTAGAAACTCAATGTGTAACTCAATAAAACACCAGGGTTCCCTTACCATGAATGGTTCATTATGGAATAAAATGTGTGCTGTTGTTAACTGCTGTAGAGTTGGTGTCACTTACAGAGATCCTATGTATAGGGTTTCCAAGGAGCAGCTGGTGGGCTTGAACTGCCACACCAGAATTCACCATAATCAACCATCCATGGTAATCTTATATTAATGAATTTTAAAAGCCAGGCTTTAACCACAAACTTCTATTTTATAAGAAGTAGTGTTAGATTTTTAATCTTAAAGTAAGCTGCATAGGCCATCGCTCTCTAATGCCAGTGCAGCCTCTAGCTGACAGCACTCCAGTTGAAGCACAAGGGGGTTAAGTGAGGAGGTGTCTATACCATGGCTGGTAGGTACAAAGCTGACTGCCCGCAAATAGACCTGTGGGAAAGCACCCAGGAAGCAACTGGCTACAAAAGCCTCTCTTGAGTGCGCCCTCTACTGAAGGGGTAAAGAAACCTTATTGTTACAGGCCTGGTACTGTGGCCCTTCGAGAAATTAGTAGTTATCAGAAACACACAGAACTTCGGATTCGTAAACTTCCATCCAGTGTCTGGTGTGAGAAGTTGCTGGGGACTTCAAAACAGACCTGTGCCTCCAGAGTATAGCTCTTGGTGCTTTGCAGGAGGCAAGTGAGGCCTATCTGGTTGGCCTTTTTGAAGACACCAACCTGTGTGCTATTTATGCCAACGGTGTAACAATTATACCCAAAGACATCCACATACATGGAGAACCTGCCTAAGATTCGACTATAATGGGAAACATTTCATTCTTAAAAAAACAACAACAAAAAAAAATCCTCTTCTTCCTGTTATTGGCAGTTCTGAATATTAGATCCTCCCCCCGCCCCCAATAGGGTCAAAAGGTTCCTAAATATATGGAAAAATAGAGGACAGAAATTATGTACTGGCAGTTTTTTCATTTTTATTTCTGTGAATTTTTAATCTAAATTAGGGGACATAAAGCATTAATGCAAATAAAAATGTTTCAGTGAACAGGCTTCAGCAGTTCAACTTTATAACAATTATAAATAGGCCTGTTAAAATTTTCTGGATATGTCAGCATCTGGATTTTTTTAAAAAACAAGCAAATTTCTTACTGACAGCCAAAAAAAAAAAAAAAAAAAAGTTGCATAAGGGTAAACTAAAATAAACAGATCAGTCACTTTAAAAGACTTAAACACAATATAAATAAATCAAAAATTTCTAGAAAAAGAACAAACAAAAATCCTTAAATCCATGTGCTAAATTTTGAATACTGTCTCTACATTAGATAACCAAGTTAGTTTAAGTATCAAAACTTAAAAGGGCCAAAATAGAATTAGCTTGATAGCTTTGCACCTTCCTTTCATCACCAATTTGTTGTTGTTAAGTGCTGTCCAGTCAGTTGTGACCCATAGAGACCCTATACAGGGTCTCCCAGGAGCAACTGGTGAGCTTGAACAGCCAACCTTGGAGCTCAAAAGGGTTTGCCATCTGGCACATGAATTCAAGGCGCCATGCCAGGACTCCATTTAGCATCGCCATTTTAGCATACACTTAAAAGTGGATTTCATTAACTTCTTAGAATACCTAATAATGATAACGTTTATAAATATTTCTGTGGCTATAGGAAATATCATTTCAAAAGTACAGTTTTTAGAGTAAGTCAGTCCCCAAAAGATGATCATAAAGAGATTGGTTTTAAGGTACTTAATACAGATTACTCGATAGAGATTCATGATAACTCTAAAAATGTTGTTGAAAACAAACAATATGATGTCACAGTAATTTAAACTTTTCAACCTATCCACAAGTTTACGTATACAACATGAAAGAAGAGATGAGATGCCTTTCCATTGTATATAGACAGACAGATAAACCTATATATTCTTTTAGAAATACATATTTTCCAGTCTTTCTAAACGTAATTACCCTGCTTGGATACACTGCACTCTTATGGGCATAGAATTCCATAGCAGTTATCAAAATAACCAAGCCATAAAGTTGGCTGTATCAATAATCTCCTATTAAAGGAACCTTGGGTGTGTGACCCAGTTTACACATAACAAGCACACAATAAATGATGCTTAAAACAAATGAGAACTGAAGCAAGGGTTTCTGAATTCGTCTTTAAATTTGCTCATACAATAACACCTATAAACAATTCTATATTGAGCACTTTCCTGAAAGGTGCCAGCTATTTCCTTTATTTTAGGACAAGTAGAAAGAAAAGGACTGACAGTCACGTTTCCAGAGACGGGTGAGGGTAGGGAGGGACTGCTGAACACCAGCTTCCAGAAATGGAAAGTCAGTCAACAGTTTCCTCTCTGATAACGCTTTATTTGCGGAGCAACAGGGGAATTACGAGCACAGTTGGAAAATAACGCTGTCTTGATAACAATCTCTTTTGGACTGAGTTCTTACTTCGTTGGGGTAATCAAATCCAAGGCTGAATTTCAACACAGTGTTCAATTTTTTGCTTGAAGCTATGGCAGCATAAAACTCTCTTCTTTGAATGGAAAATTTGACCAACTTCTATGAGGTAAATGTATCTTGACAGTGGTTTGTGTGTGTGTGTGTCTGTCTCGGGAGAGGTACACTTTTTTCTAAGGGGAGAGGGAAGGATAGCAGTTCTCTTGAAAGGTGTTTGCCACACCAGAGAGCTCAAAAATTCTCAGGATCATGCCTCCTGGAACGGAGGGACTTCTGGTTTACTAGGCACCGGGGGAATCCTTGCTTTGAGTGAAAATGCGATTGGAGAAAAGACGCTCTTCAGAACGACTTAGTGCCCAGTGATCCCCTGGTAAACCCAACCCTTCCCGGGATTCCCTCAGGCGCACGTCTCCCATCTGCTCGGTGCACCCGCCCGGGCGCTGGAGGACCAAACACCCGGCGCCCCGGGCCCTAGGCCGGCGCGGGATGAACTCCTCGACCCCCGCCGCCGCCGCTCCTCTCCGAGTCTCCGCCGCAGGTCAGCCAGAGCTCTTCAGCGTTGCTCTCCGCCGCCGCGTGCCTCTGGGTTCCGCGGCCTCCCCGCCCCAGGCTAGGCCCCCGCGCGGCTGCGCTTCCCGTAAACTCCCCGCCCTGCGCGGCCCCCTCCCCGCCTCGGCACCGCCCCCGCGGGACCCTGGTCGGTGTGTGATTGGCCCGGCCGCGCCGTCACTCCCAGGTCGCGTCACCGCCCTCGTTTCCGACCGCCGGGAGACCGGCAGTGGCATTAGTGCTTGCGGGGCCGCGGCAGAGGGGACCGTGCAGCCTGCTCGCTCGTACTCGCCAACGGGCCCGCGCACCGCCCACCTGAGCTGCGGCCAGGGCTACTGGGTAGCGGGGCTGCACGCTCCGCCGCCGCTGGGGACGGAGAGGCAGCTAGTTCCAGCTCCGACATGGGGAACTGGCGAAGTTGACTAGCCCCCAACGCACGCTGCACCCCGCTTGCCCAGAGGTGCGCTGTCCCCTCCTGGAGGTGTCCGCACGCTACCCTGCCCCAAGTGTGCGCCCGACATCCCGCTCCCTGGGAACACGAAAACTTCACCCTAAGTCCAAAGTGTGGGCTCCGAGGGCGGTGCCCGCAGCTGGACTTCGGGTGTCAAGTGGGGGAGCGGTCCTGGCGGTTCCTGCGGGGGTCGAAGGGCGGACTCTGCTAGAAACTTTATCATCAGCATCGTGATTACAACGTTTTACTGTTTTCTCTTTCCGTAGGGGCTGCAGCCTGTGGTCTGTCGCGCGTGCTTGCTTGCCAGCAGAGCGTCCCCAGAGAGAGGATTTGGAGGGGGGTCGTTCCCCCAGGGTAGACGTGCAACCCAGCCGCGGGGTCTGGACGGCCTGGATGCGCAGGACCCAAACCCGCAGCCGCTGACGCCTGACAGCGGCGAAGTTTGGTCGCTGAGCGGCGCGGCGCGGGGCCACTGGACAGCGGGCCGCCCCGCGGCCGCAGCAGACGGAGCGATGCCCGTGGGGGGCCTGTTGCCGCTCTTCAGCAGCCCCGCGGGCGGCGGCCTGGGCGGTGGCCTGGGCGGGGGGCTAGGCGGCAGCGGCGGCAGCAGGAAGGGATCGGGCCCCGCCGCCTTCCGCCTGACGGAGAAGTTCGTGCTGCTGCTAGTGTTCAGCGCCTTCATCACGCTCTGCTTCGGGGCGATCTTCTTCCTACCCGACTCCTCCAAGCTGCTCAGCGGGGTCCTGTTCCACTCCAGCCCCGCCCAGCAGCCGGCCGCCGACCACAAACCCGGGCCCGGGGCGCGCGCAGAGGACGCGGCAGAGGGGCGAGCCCGGCGCCGCGAGGAGGGCGCGCCGGGAGACCCGGCGGCTTCCCTGGAGGACAACTTGGCCCGGATCCGCGAAAACCATGAGCGGGCTCTCAGGGAAGCCAAGGAGACCCTGCAAAAGCTGCCTGAGGAAATCCAAAGAGACATCCTGTTGGAGAAAGAGAAGGTGGCCCAGGACCAGCTGCGTGACAAGGCAGCGCCCAGGGGACTGCCCCAGGTGAATTTCGTGCCCCCCATCGGGGCGGAGGGCCCCGAGCCCGAAGACCTCGCCATCCGCGACAAGAGGGCAAAGATCAAAGAGGTGAGTGCAGGTACCAGAAATCTCTCCCGATGCTTGCTATTTTTCCGGGAGAAATAACAAACCACTAAAACACTTCAGACTGCAATATTACAGTGTAGGAGGGAGATGGGGCTCCCCCCGCCCGCCCCCCGTCTATTAGGTGCAGTGTCAGCGGCTCTTCCGCTTTTCTTTTCAGTATCAATCATAGTAGATGTGTCCAATTAAGACTTCAGATGAAATTCCACAGTTTTAATTTATCTGCTCCAGTGCATAAATCATACGATGTCGGTTGAAATACATGAGCAGGTGGTCTACAAACCTTCTCCTTCACTGGCTGCTACAGGGTTAATCCAGGCAGGGAGCAGTAACAAACAGTGACAGGACCATACAGCTCCTTAATCTGGAGTGTTTATGGCTTTGACATGAAACTGGGTTGTAAACAAAAACATCAGCAATGCCAGTACACCTCAACGTTCAGTCAGATGGCCACATTCTTCCAGGTGGCATCCTGTGTGTACTTACAAAATGGAGAAGTTTGGATTGCAGGAGATTATACATTTCTCTCTCTCTCTCTCTCTTTTTTTTTTACTTAGAAAAAAATTAAATGGGGGGAAAAAAACTGTCTTGTACAATCAAAAATAGTGTGTTTATTCCATGTGATGCAACAGGTTTGCCTTCGTGATAGCACAATGATGACAAACTTAATCTAGGACAAACATGGACTTTGATAGGTATTTTGCAATTTCGTTCAGGTAATTTTCAGCTAGCATTTGTAACATGTAATTAGTTCGCAGCCAGTTTAGAGCCTCAGGGAACCTAAAATTAATTTCAGACTGTTCTTGTAAAGATGAAAGTTAGAGGGACTTGTCCCAGGCCCCAGAACCATTTAGTGACAGTCAGGACTTGAAGCCCATACTTCCTCCTGGTCACCTGTCACCAGACTCTGTGAACATGCGTCCTTTCATAGTCACTCTCTGAAACTGTGTCTGTTTAGACCCAAGAGCTGTAGGAATCATGTTAAAAACATTTCATACTCAACCTTCATTCAGTTTTCTCAACTATATCATGAATGGAAGTAGAATTTCTGTTTTTGGTTTTTGGTTTTGTTTTTAAGTATGCAGAGACTTTATAAAATAAATATTGTGTTTTGACATTGGGTAAATAGGACAGGAAGGTTTTTGATCTCTCATTTTCAGAGATGAAACAGAATTTTGAAGTGATAAAGAGGTGTTGCTGCAGAATGGAAGTAGCTCAGTTATCATAGGATTTGTGACCTTAAAACCAGATAAATTTGGTTAAGCTGAAATGGAGCAAGTTAAAGTGGATTTGGATCCCTTTCAGGTTACTTTAGGCAGGATGCCTTCAGGTCTCTTGTGCACATAGCTTCCTTACATAGCCTGTTTGCTTCTTTCAGATCCTTCCTCAGGCAGAGAGCCCACCCAGACTTCGGGAAATGGATCTGCTCTTCCTGCTAATTTCAGTTGTTTTACAGTTTCCATTGTCCATGAAATCCTGTCAGAGCTAGGAAATCAGGAAGGGGACATAAAGCTCTCCTCATCAAATATCTCCCTGTCACCCTCCTCCAACCCTCTTAAAAATATTCAGCCAACCCTTAAATAACCAACGATATGAGACCAAACAATCAACATTTACCCTAAAACTGAGAAGCTAAAGAAGGGTAGGGAAACAGAAAACTTTCAAAATCAAAAAAATTAAAATGTAATCTGTGTCATAGAATAAACTGTAGAAATTGTTAAAATTGGGCCTAATTTGCTTGTGAACTTTCACATAAAACGCAATAAAATATATAAAACCAAATTCATAGGTTAATTAACCCAGCTGATTGACCTCTACCTGCTTGGGATTCCCTTTAATTTGAAGAAGTATAAATCACATATTTCATGTCTCTGGATTTTAATAGTTCTCAATGCAGATTATTATGTTGTTTGAGAAAATTGTTTTAAATCCTATAGATGTTAAAAAAGTCTGGTACTGACCAGTAGTGATTAAAAGCTCAGTTAGAGCAGAAACAGTGAGAAAGTCAATTCAAAATGGCAAACTAACAGTGTGGTATATTCATCCCTGTTAGAGCCATGTCTCTAATCAAAAACTCTTAATTAATCATGTGAAAGAAATTTATGTAGACTTCTGTGTCAGTGTGGTGCTAACATCTTACCACCTAGATGCTTTGAAACTGCCCAGTCTTGCATAAAGTGGTGGAAGGAAATGTGTTCTTTAAAATTCCTTGTTACTGTCAGAACCCAAAAGAGCCAGCATAATTAGCTTCAGTATTTACTCCAAGATTAATGGTAAGAAATGGATTATGATTTTTTATCAGATAAGTTCAGGGAGATGTGTTCCTTTGTAAGCTCCCCCATAAAAGGTAACTCATGCTTTTCTAAAGCCGTGCTGTAAATGTTCAGTTTCAGAGACAAAAGAGTTACTTCCCATTGTGTGAATAAAGCACTGGACCTTAACTTTCCATGTTGACATTGTTTCAGGCACCACTATGAACTTGTTCTTTATTGAACCTGTACTTTCTAGTTTTCCATTTAGGTGCTCTATTATATCTACTGCAGGATAATGCATTGGACCCCAAGGTCGGTTTGAACTGCAAGGTCAGTGGTTCAAACTCACCAGCCACTCCTTGAAAACACTATACAAGGTTGCTCTGAATCAGAACTGACTCGATGGCACTTATCAACAACAATATATCTGACTGCTCCTACATTTTTATAGTTAAAATTTATAAAGTATAGGTAAGTCTAACATGATAGGAGCTTGGATTGTAGTTTATGAGTTAAACAGTTATTTTGTAAGTTTAGTTTAAAGGCAACCTGGTGTGGCACTGTAGGATAAGCACTGGACTGCAAAGTCAGTTTAAATAGCAAGGTCGGTGGCTCAAACTGACTAGCCACTCCTCAGAAACCCTATACAGTGTCGCTATGAATTGGAACCGACTATAGCTGTGGCACTGTGGGTTAATGCACCAGACTGCAAAGCCACTTGAACTGCAAGGTCGGCGGTTCAAGCCTACCAGCTACTCCTCGGAAACCCTATACAGAGTCACTATGGGTCGGAATCGACTCGACGGCACTTAACAACAACAACAACATACCTCATTTAAGGAGTTCTGGTAGCATAATGGTTATAAATCGGACTGAGAACCTCACGGTTGTTCCACGGTAGAAAGTTGAGGCTTTCTGTTCCCCTAAAGATTTACAGCCTGGGAAATCCTGTACAGGGTCACTATGAGTCTGAACCGACTCCACGGAATATCACAACAACAGCAAATACTAACTTTATATTGCCAACACAATTAGATAACTGATACAGTGATAAATTTTAAACAGACTTGTATTCTGTTAATTTCACATAGGTCATTGCTTGGTACCTTCACAAAAAGGTGTTTCTTAAATCTTCTCCAGTACTAATATGATGATTAGTAAATGATTGATATGAAACTTCAAATTGAAATTAAGATCCCTTCCCCCAAAAAGAGAAGTTGTGAATAAATCCATTAATTCTGGAATTTTCCTTAAATTTATAATGCAGAGCATGTATTTATTTTAATGGGTTTGATCTTTTAAAAAGTGTACTCAAGTTATCCTTATTTGTAAAATAACAGTGTTCAAATAAACTGAAGCACAGAAGTTGAAACATTACCATGGGAATTTTAGAAAAATAGTTTTAGTTCCCCTCACCTCATACCCAATTTTTAAAATCATGAAGCTTTTTTGCTTGCCAACCCCCTTTCTTTCTTTTAGCCTTAACCATGAACCTATACTCCTTTACAATTAGGCTCTTAACTTCTTTTGGAGGAGGAACTTTCTAGGGGGTGAAGAGAGTCAAGTTGTCAGAGGGAATTTTTCCTTCTCAGACTGGAATCTCCACTGACAAGTAGTGCAAGCTGGTAGCCAGCCTGGAGTTTCTCAGGTAAACATCTAGTCAGTAACTAGTCAGCTGTAAGGTCACACTCATCTCTCAGTGTATCATATAAGGGTTTACATTTTTATTCCAGATCTATTTATATAACCATATGCCTAAAAGAACTTTTATATTGAACGATGGTTAAAATGTATTTTTATGCTTTATGCTAGCTAGCATTATGTTAGTCTTAAGTCTACAATTTATGGTAACTGTTGATTGTTAGCCCTTTTGGAAATGAGCAGATGTGGCAGGTAATATACCTTGAATGATTAAAACAAAAATGAAACCTTTCATTTTGAAATTTAACTTTCCATTTATTTGTATGGGTAGTTCTGGTATGGAAGATAATATTTAAAAAAATAAAAAATAAAAGTCACAGTTTGAAGACTAGATTCAAAAAGAACTTACTGTTAAATACCGTGGAGTTGGTTCCGACTCATAGTGACCCTGTGCAGGGTTTCCGAGGCTGCAGATCTTTACATGAGCAAGAAGCCTCATCTTTCTCCCACGGAACAGCTGGTAGTTTCGAACTGCTGACCTTAAGGTTTGTAGTCCGATTCGTAACCACTATAATATATGTTGTTGTTGTTGTTGTTATGTGCCGTGGAGTCGGTTCCGACTCATAGCAACCCTGTACAGCGCTATATAGATGCCCTTAAGTTGCCTGCCTGGTCCACTGCTCACCACTCTGTGTAATACACTCCATATTGAACATAGGCAAATGTGAGAATTTCCGGAACACAAAACTCACTCACCCCAGAGCAGACGGGACATGGAATATTTGTAAAGGCTTCTCTCTTTGGCAAGATGAATTGACTAAGACATCTGCAATTACACTGGACTAGATGCTGACCATTAACTGTTACCATATAAAAGCAAGAAAAGAATGGTTGATTACGTTCAACATAATTTTCTGTAAGCTAGTGATAAATGGGAGTGTATGTCTTATCAGGTAACTACATTTCTGAGCAGTGTGTAAAGCTTAAAAACATAGTTAAGAGTATGAAAAGGATTAAAAAACTACATTTTCAAATAATAATGCATCTGTAGTTCTTAGGTAAGCTAATAAGCTAAGCCACCTTGAGAAATTT